GCGCAACTGTGTAACCATACAATATATAACATATTAGCATTTAGAATTACAAAGAGTTAGTATATGAGGTATTTTCACCCTTCTTCCAGCATGCCTACATGGTGTAACGGTTAGCACACTCGGCACGTATTCAAGAGGTCCAGAATTCGAGGCCCGGCGAGAGCATTGGGCCTTTTTCATGTAGACCTGCTTCAGAAATACCTAATGACTCTACAGTGGCCCCCGAACTGGATTTCGACGACTGGATCCCCCTAATTCGAGATCTCTCTTTAAAAGTGGAAGTATATAAGGTAGTTTCTCCCTTTTCCAGCATGCCTTCGTAGTGTAACTGTTAGCACACTCAGCGCGTATTCGAGAGATCCAGGTTCGGGGCTCGACGAGGGAACTGTTCATTTTTCACATCTCCTGCTTTGCAAAAAGCCTAATGTCTCTACAAGTAAGAAATGCTGATCTGAAAATATTGCCAATTTTAGTAAAATTTAGAAATTGGAAACGTATTGCAGCTTCTTAAAAGAAAGGAATCTATCGAAAGATTTTATAGTTCTTTTCTAACTATAGAGAACAAAAAGTAATGTTATCGTTTATTGGATTTAAAATGTACTAACTTTTACGAATCTTGAAACAACGTAGAGTACTGGTTTTAGAAACAAACGGGTTCGTAATCAAAATGTTGTCAACCAAATAACAACATTTTCTTCGCTATATAGCTGATGCATGAAGGAAATGCTGCAACTTTGATGTAATATCACTTGTAAAACTTCAAGACAGTTAGATTTTGTGTTTAAACATAATTTATTCTATTGGCAAAAGTCCAAAGAGACTTCACGTTGATGTGCTAGTCCATGCACAGCTTGGATTTACTAGCGCTTTAGAAAGTTACGGCTGCTGTCGTGGCCATCTGTAAAATTTGAAATTTTACGATGCTAACTATAATAGCAGCGTACGAGTTCTTTAAACGATTTCATTTTAAAGTCTGCTTAAAGAGACAAAGTTTTCACGACTCTAACAACTCCATGCTAATTAAAGTCTCAATTCTTTCAAATCAAATAATATATTTCAACAAAATATACTTAATTAAATATAGCTTTCCGAATTCCTTTCGATGTGATTTATTTTACAGCATGGAATACATTACTCATTTTTGTTTTCAATATTTTATTATTCTAATATTTTTACTTGTGTAATAATTGCAACATTCGACATAATTCCATTGCAAGTTATCTGTAAAAATATATATTGTATTCCATGAGAAAAAAATCTGGTCTCTCGACTGAAGAATCAAACTGTGTTGATTTAGTTGATTTTCTTTAACTCTGCATAAAAAAAATAATTAAAATGTAAATGAATATGAATATGAATCATGTGATCAAATCATAAATTTTCGTTTAATTAAATATCATAATTTTAAAAGTATTCATAATTTTCAAATTATGAGTGATAATTATTTATAAGTATTTAAATAATTATGAGTGATAATTATTTATAAGTACTTATAATTTTAAAAGTATTAAGTATGCATAAATTTTTGGAAATACTTACTTAACAATTACTATATTAAAGATAAGGAGAAGAAAGTAAATTTTTCACATTTATTAGATATCACGGTTGAGTTTAAAAATGGAAAATAATCATTAAACCAAAAGCATGGATGGAAAAATAAAATCTGGATTTCTTATATTAATTTAAGTTAGCTAATTGAAAATTTATGTTACTAAAAAAATCTGGCTCTTTATAAAATAAATTAATTTTCGAAGCTTATTTATGTCAATTTTAGGAAACAAAAATTTAAAATATATTTATTCAGTCTTATAAAACGCAATTATAAATTATATATGATTTTTCAGATCAAAATTCTACAATACGGTAACGATTCTGTGGTTCCTTGTAAACAAAGAAACGTATAATTCTGCTTGAATATTATAATTGCAAATTATAGTGATGTAGGTCATACAGCAACATCAGTTTTATCACAACTATAAATAATAGTATTGTTTTAACTCTACAGATAAGGATACATAAACCAAATATCTACCTGAAGCGTAATTAAAAACAAATACATAAAAATTAATTATACAAAATCTCTCTCTATATAAATATTTCTAAATAAATATAAATGCTCCATAATTTAAGCAACATATTATTTATAGAATCATATGTTTTCGGAATTAAATAGTACCATATAAAACACGCTTTATTTAAAACATATAATTCATTAACGTGTCATATACCCTTTGATCGTATGTACTGCGATCTTCACTAAGGTTTATCTTCAACTCCAATACCATCTTAACCATAAACTAAAAATCGAATTCATTCAGAAAAATATAAAAAAATAAAAATGTTGCATCTTACTCCCTCAAGTTTAATTAAATCATATTTCTATCGTTTAATTTCAACGCGCAAAGCAGATGTGGAAAACAGGAAATGGTCGAAACTTTCTATCTCTGAAAATTAAAACAAGAAGAGACGCTTTCTAGCACTGCATTTCTATTTCACGTCATTAGTAGTTATTGGTGTTTGGTATGGCTAGTCAACATTTCACTGGCCGGGAAGATCTGTGGTTAAATTGGCTAGAGTCCAATTACGCCACGTACCTCACGTTTAATTAAAGCATCCCAAATTAGACGACTTAGAACTAATGTTACTAGAAAATGACTTATCGTGACGCGATAATATATGAGAATCCAAGGATTAAAAGTTTTCAGTACCATGAGGTAGGTTCTATGCGTAATTAAACTTTCTTAGATACATCCAAAAATATGAAAAAAAAAACACATTCTTGTAGAAAAATGGAGCAATAAAAAGAATGCTTCCGAAAATAAATACTTATTCTTTGAAATTAAGCTGTTCAGGTTCATGATTCATGGGAAAAGGAAAGTGGTATAGCTCCTTTTGTAAAGAGATGAGGAGCACCAAAAGGCTGAGTGCAGTCGATAACTGGTTAGCAGCATTTTTTGTCATTAGATGAATATCAAAGTCATTTGTCAATAAGCACTTTTTATAGGATATAAAAGTTAAGAAACAAAACAATAAAGCATAACTCCAATTGACAAAATCAAATAAACGATGTTATAAGTGCTCAAAATATCTTTATCTAATTTTTAAACGAAAATGAAGAGAAATTAATACCTAGACTTAAAAAGTAAAAAATTAATCTGACTAGTTCATGAAAACTGCGGCAGATAAGTTTATTCTAGTTAAGTGCTATTTGTTGACATTGCTGAAGAAGCAAATCTTGTTAATATCTACTGCTATATAAAATTATACAACGTGTTTCCTAAATATCAGTATAGCGCTACGAATTGTAATGAATAGTTTAGTTTAGTGACGGAGGACGTGGGCACCATCCCTTTACCGTTATGGTTAATTGGTAATAGCACCACGTCCACCCTTATCTAGAGACTAGTGGGACTACAGGTCATACTTTACAGTACTTACGATATCGTACAATATAAATAAACCATACAATTTCCTACATATGCATGATACAGTATATAATCAAACAGGATTATTAAAGCATAATGCTGGTGCGTATACAGTTAAAATGCAAAAGTTAAGATGTAAAATACTAAGTATCGATTAAAGTTATATGACTAAATAATATTATATTATTCATGCATAAAAACCTTAAAAAAAAAAATAAAAAAATAAAGAAAGAAAATTAAAAAAAAATACAATATCCTACATATGCATGATACAGTATATAATCAAACAGGATTATTAAAACATAATGCTGGTGCGTGTACAGTTAAAATGCAAAAGGTTAAAATGCAAAATACTAAGTATCAATTAATTATATGATTAAATATTATTATATTATTCATACATAAAAACATTCAAAAAATAAATAAAAAAAAATAAAATAAATAAATAAATAAATAAAAATAAGTAAATAAATAATGCGCTGTATATATATATATATATATATATATATATATATATACATAGAATATGCCATACAAAAAATAATACACATACACATTAGGAGCAGAATGTGGAATATAGGATCATACAAATACAGGATCAAGTCGTGAGGATCATTGAAAAGTACATACTTAATGTGCTTCACAAATTCAGCCATAAGTATCATTCATACAAATGTAAGCATTCTGGAACAACAAAAACCAATAATGGTGTACCCTCATATTTGCTACAATACACTACACTGGTACAGTAATTTCTTATGAAATATTTTACTTTTACATTTCAGAGACACAAAATTTGATAGAATTTGTACTGAGTGACTATTTGAAAGGGTACGTTAAGACTGTGGTAACTAATAAGCAAAGTAAACATATTGTTTTTCATAGGGGGTGCATAAGATACAGTACAATGATCATTTCATTAGATCAGTCCGTTATAAGAATATCACTAAAATTTATAAATGTAGCATTAAACCAGAGTTTACCACGAAGATTATGTACTTTGCATCAATGCATTATGCCTATGAATGCTACACCTGGCACAGGTCTATTCCAAGACCTTTAACCTTTTCCATAACCTTGTTAATTTTATTAATCAAGTGCCTCTGCTTGATTAGAAATTTGCAAAAGGCTTGACGATTTTGCGAAGGGAATCTGATATGTAAGCCTTCTGTAAGAGGGCATTTTTCAAGGTAATGCTCCGGAGAGCCTAACTCTCCGCAGGTGCAAAAGCTGGAATCGCTTATTTTAAATCTCTCAAAATAAAGAGGAAAAGGGCCATGCCCTGAAATATAACGTGTCAGATGGGGATTTCCACAGCATCTATCTTGTGTAACGTAAGAAATATGGTAATAAGTACGACGACCAGTGGTACTATAATCCCATTCTTCTTGCCACTTACTGATTGCTTTGAGACGTAATGCAGATTTCAAATGTGAATGCGACCAAGGTATGTGAATTTGTTCAGCAGCAATTCCAAAAGCGGCCTCCTTGGCGAGAGTATCTGCAACTTCGTTTCCATATTCACCCATATGTGCCTTTATCCAAGCTAAGTGGATGTCATGGCGTTGATGTTTTCTAAGGTCTTGTAGCCTTTAGGATTTGGTGGGTTAGCAAGTAGCGAATAGCTTGCGCTATTGCTACTGCTTCCCCTTCAAAGACACTGTTATTGTTAGCCAAATGGCCCTTCCATTGTGCAATGACACTATTTTTTTGTAAGACAGCAAATGCGCTCCCCACATTTCCTTCAATTTTAGATCCATCCGTATAAATTACTATACTCGAGGGGCTACGGTATTCTGTAGGCGGGACATGTAGTCTAATGCCAACACCATAATCCGCAGGGTGAATGCTGTCAGATGTTAGTTTGGTTTCATATTCCTCCGAAGTAAAATTTTCTTCAGCAAATGCTATTGGCTTGTGTAGCTGTATTAACATTTGTCGTGCTGCTTCCTCCTCCTCAGTTCTAATATGCAGTGGGAGCAAACCAGCCAAGACATTTATTGCATCAGTGGAAGTAGTAATATATGCCCGAGTTATTCCTAAGGCAAAAGGGCGCTGAATAGTAGAGAGATGCTTGATTTTTCTCCTCTGCATAGGGAGAGCCCAAATTGCTGCTGCATAAGTTACTAACTTTTCTACAACCGTTGTGTATAAGATCTTTTGAATGTGGTGGTTCAAACCCCACTTGTATCCATAAAATTGTCTTAGTTGTTTGGCGATGGCCAGGGTACGCTTTTTAATAGAGAGAACATGAGGAATCCACGTAAGTTTTTCATCAAAGGTAACACCAAGATATTTTAATTCTTTTACAATTTTTGAGCCTCTGACCATTGAGTACAATACGCGGTCTCCTTGCCAAAGAGCCTCCCTTCTTAGGCACCAGTAAAATTTGACACTTATTTTCTGCTATGACTAATTTCAGTTCGTCACAATTTCGCTGGAAAATTTGACAGGCCTCATTGCAGTTCTTTTGCAATTCTTCACGAGAATGTCCCTTGACAACCAAGGCCGCGTCATCGGCATAGGCAAAAATGTTCGTATGCGCAGGCCAGGAAGCATTGAGTAGCTTATTGAAGGTTAAATTCCAGAGTTGAGGACCTGCGCGCAGGAACCCTGCGGGCATCCTCTCGTCTGTGACTTTTCAATAATTCCCGCTGAATGTATAATCATTATTCTTCGATCCTGTAGATAATGATTTATAGTATTAAAGATATTGCTTGGGCAGCCAGAACTTCTTAGAGCCTGCAAGATCGCTGGCCACCATAAGTTGTCAAATGCACTCTTCAGGTCTAAGCTGATGAGTGCTGTATGGAGACCGTGATATTTGTTGTCCATGATAGCCTCTTTGATATCATGCAAAGCGTGTAAAGTGGAAGTTCCTGGCCTAAATCCATATTGCCTGGGACTGAGGATATTATTAACGTGTAGATAATAGCGTAGTCTGGTCATAAGGAGTTTTTCAAACAGTTTACCAAGAGCCGGAAGTAAACAGATTGGTCGGAAAGATGTGGGTTCCGCTGGATTGCGATCTTTTTTTCAAAAACAACACCACTTGTCCGATTTTAAACGATTTCGGGAATGTACCCGTAGCTAGCAATTTATTGAAAAAGCTAACAAAGATTGTTGGCTTGGCCAAAACGACTGTTTTAACGATTGCATAATCAATGCCATCAGGGCCAGGGGCCTTTTTTCTTTGGCAAATGCGCTAATATATGTTTTAGTTCTTTCAATGTAATATCCCTATCCGGTGGCACGTTGGTAGACATCTGTTCTGTACGTATAGTTGCTTGTTGCTTAGAATCTTCGGTTGGGTCATCCTGACTGAAGACGGAATCCAGGATCTGTATTAATGTTTCCCTTGTGTAGTCCTGAGTAACATTTATTCGTGTAGGGATGTGTAACTGGGCAGGCCTAAACAGCTTTCCAGTCATAATCTTATGATGAATACCATAGATGTTTTGTGACTCTGTACAAAAAGCATGCCATGAATTGATTTTAGCCTGCAAAATTGAATTGAACGTTTGTACTTCGCTCTTGCCTGTTGATAAATTGGGAGGGTCTTAGCTGGAAGGTTTAGTCTACGCTCAGTCTTTAACCTTCGACGTAATGCGCGACATTGCCTCTGCTGAATACGAAGTTCACTACTCCACCAATTGATCGTAGTCAGTTTTTTAGTACTACGCTGTGGCAATATGTCATCACACGCTTGCTGTATACACTTTTGTAGAGTCACTGTGAAATTCTCCAATTCGTCTCTAGAGTTCGCTTGAGTTAGCTGTTGTTCAATACCTTCAATCAAATTCTTGACTCTAGTAGTAAAAGCACGTTTACGCCTACCAGGTAGGTTGTAACGACGAATAATATTAATTGTCGTCGGTTGCTCTATTGAGAAAGTAATGTAACGATGGTCGCTTAAGCTAATTTCATCATTAACCCTCCAGTTTTGTATTAATGGCGCAGCTGAGGCTGAGCTGACCGTCAAATCAGGCCAGCCTTGTGCGTAGATTCTGTCATATGTCGGAGGCAGCGTCTGCTGTGTTATGTAAAACAAGATGATTAGCAGACAGAAAATCCTCCAGAAGGCTTCCTTTGTCATTCGTAGAAGCATACCCCCAAACCGTGTTGTGGGCATTATAATCGCCTGTAATTATTTTAAGAGGAATTTTAATCTTTTGCAGGGTATCTGTAAGAAACTGTGTAGTAGCCAAAATATCTGCAGAAGGAGGAGAGTATTGTGAGATAAACAGTAAAGATGCTTCTTGTGCTTCTATAATGATTGCAACATTATCGCGTTCAATTGCTACGATAGCCGGAGACCATTTTTTGTTGCAGTTAATAATAATGGCCCTAGGAGGATATTCTACATTTCCTTGTTGATAAATTGTCCATTGCAATGGAAATCCCACTGCAATTCCGTCTCGCGTGTAAGGTTCCTGAGCCATTATCAGGTCAGCACCAAATTCTGCTGCAAATTGTGCTAGTTGAGCAACTGCTGCTTTTGCTCGCTGTAAATTTATTGTATACATTTGATAGATAATGTACTGCATATTGTATCTTTATTTATGACGTTTGATAAATCAAGATTAGCAGTATTCTGTATTATCTCGGATTGACTGTACCTTGCGCTGGTATTGTGGGCATTCTGGAGCATAGGCTGGATGGAAGTAGCTGTATTTGGTGCCATAGCGGGAGTTGGCCTCACCACAGTTGATACACTGTGGTTGTTGGGCTGTGCAATCACGGTTCCCATGTTCTTCTGCACAGTAGGAGCAATATTGTTTTCTACTTCTGCAGTCAGCTTGCTTATGCCCATATTGCTGGCATCTAAAACATCGCTGGAGGCCAATATGCTCTGAGACTCTATCAGCCTGCCAGCCGAGGAAGATTTTTCTGTGCTGCATGATGGCTGCAAAGCCTGTCGGCTCACACTCAAAAACCCACTTGATTTTTTTTTGCCTTTACGACGTTCTTGTAATCGGAATAGGGGTTTTAAAGGTGGTGCTAGGCATTCCAGTGACGCCGCTGAGTTCTGCGAGTACTTCTTCTGATTGTGTGGATACCGGCAAGTCATGGACGGTGCATCTTGGCTTACGTTTCCATGGACGGGTGACTTCCGCTGGGATATCTTGTTGTTGAAGCTGTTGTTCGAGGATTTCGACATCTTCAGTGGATTTACAGACAACCTCGAAACCTCCTTTGTTGAGCTTAGAAATTCTTTCTATACCTGCCTGTAGCTTGGAAAGTGGTACTTTAGCGTTTAGCTGCGCCTTTAGCTCAGTCTCTGTGACGTCCGCTTTGGGACGTATGTATAGACTTGGATTCTTATGTTTCTTTATAATCTCTGCAAAAGTTGGTCGAGAAGCTGTTGGCAAAGGTGGAGGTGCCTGTAAATCAGGTGGTTGTTGTGCTATCGGTAGAGGCTGAGAGCGAGCCAATTCACAGCAAAGCACTGTTGATGTATTAACACCTGTGTCTATCTTTGTTGGCTTGGCTGCTAAATTCTGCACCTTGTAAGGCCAGCGTCTGCAACGCAACCAGGGAGTCTAATAGTCTGGTGCGAAGAACTGTAGGTAAAAGATATTTAGTACTTCTGGTTGGTGGCCGCTACCTGTCTAATATCCTCACACAAAATAGCTACTTTCTCTGCGTAAGGCAAATCAGAGGTCAATAAATTAGTGGCGTCCTACGTCACTTTGTGAATGCGCGGAATCACCGTCAGTTGGAATCACTGATTGACAGGACATGCTGTCCAAGAACTTTCTCAGAGTTGCAAATTATCACACTCGTAGTGTAACTCTTTATCAAATACTTAACGTAGAATACAGCTATTGCTTATTGCTGTATAACAACAAATATACCAATATACATATGATAAAATTTGGTAACAATAGGTCCCCTTCACACCCAGTAACAAGAAATTACAGTAATTAAAACATGTAGTAGAATAAGTAAGATACTAAACATAATTAACAGATGACTATGACTAAAATTCTCTAAATACAATCAAACTGGACTGATTTTTAAGTGCAAGTAGAAAACATAAAAATACAAGTAATTAAAATACAGCAATTAATACAGTAATTAAAAGATTAAATAAACATTTCAAGTAATTAAAGGTAAAATACAGAGGTGCATAAAGATCAGTTCTCATGTAAAACACATCAAAAGCACGCAACTAGAGCTTTAAAACTAAATTTTTAGAGTTTGTCGAATAGTGTTCAAAGTTATCGAAAAGTTATTCGACGACGAGAGCTATAATGTCGAAACTGAAGATGAAAACGATGGAATTAAACACTATGTAATTCCTAAGCTTCTTAACAGGAAGGACGAACACTATGGAGCTCCAATATTAATATACAGAATTTAGAAAAACAATCAGTGAGTTATGTTTATTTGGGTCAATATTTTCAGCGAGAACAAGAAATGGTTAGGCTTAATTTAGTAAATCCTAAGATATTGCAAATAAAAGTAAATGGATGTAAAAAGATTAAAGAATTTTGAAAAAATACCAGTTCTTGAAATTCCTGGTTGCAATGGATCCGAAAGATATATACATATATTTTAAAATTAAACATTAATTTCTGGACATTAGAATATTTTGGCCGATTTCCTAGGCCTTACCAGGGGAACCACGTGGTAGCTAGGCGGGACCCTTTTCGTTGCTGTAGCGGCAGAAGTGGTGAACAAAAACACGGTAAATTGCGACAGCCTATTTTCTTTTGTTAGAAGCACGAAAACACAAAAATCTGGAGAAATATCACTCACACACACTTAAACGATGTATCCAAGGATGCAGGAGATATTCACGCACATTTTGATATATAATACACACGTCGCTCTCAAAAACTTCCACTGAAAATTGGGCAAAAACCAAGAGCTCGGCGTGATGGCGTGCTTCCTCGTTGCCTGCTCCGGCGTCTCTAATTGTAATGAATACAGATGCTAAGCTAAACTGTATTCACACATCATAAAATTTTACCGATTCCAATTATCATGATTTAACAATTTAGATAAAAAGCGGCCATATATTTTCTTATGCTGTTATGCTTGTTTTAATGGCAAATATCCTGTTGAATTGCACAAATTCACATTAACACAGGACATAACCAAGGGCGAAGTAGTATATTCCCCTTGACATAACTCAAACGAAACAGAAATGAAATTTACATGGACCTTATAAGAAACAGACTAACCCAAACGGGTTTTCTCCCTCGTCTGAGGCGTTGCATGGCTGTCACCTTGATCACATCCGGACGAGTAGGGACGACTTGCAGAAATTTAACATTGGTTGGCTATTGCAGCGTGTATAATTATCAAGAAAAAGCTGTATG